CAGATTTTTCAGTCGTCTTGCTATTTATATTTGTGAAGCAGGTAATGTTTAGCTTACACTTGATCTGGTCCATCATTCTATATTATGTTGTTTATTTCTGCAGCAGACTATCAGATGCTCCAGGGTCTTAAAACTGTCTTAATCTTAGAATGAATGCCCCATAGTGCCTAGATGGTGCTGGCCACAGACTAGGTGCTTAATAAATGTTGGATGAATGAAGAAGGTATAAATGAATGGGTGAATGAATGGAATGAATGAATGTACTGAGCGTATCACATTCCTTCCCTGAGCCTCAAGGTATCAGTATCCCCAAGACTGGAAGCCCCTCCAGGATTCTCCATTCTCTTCCAAGCAGGCTCTGGCCCAGTTCATGAGCCTGAGGGTATATATCTCTCCTTTTGCCAAGTAATTACCAGAAGCAAGTTCTTCATAAGAAGAAACACATTGTAAGCAAAATTGTAAGCACAGAGACAAATGACTCATGTACAGGAGACCATAAACTTATTTTTTTTTCATATTTTCATAACTGTATTGCAATGTGATTGGTTTCCTCTATAATTCTACATATTTTATTTTTGGTTAGTTTTTTTTTTGAGGCAGTTGGGGTTAAGTGACTTGCCCAGAGTCATATAGCTAGTGACAGTATGTGTCTGAGGCTGGATTTGAACTCAGGTCCTCCTGACTCCAGCGCCAGTGCTCTATCCACTGCGCCACCTAGCTGCCCCTTCTACATATTTTATATTATGCCTTTAAAAATGCTATTCTGAAAAAGCACTATTCAGCAGACTGACTTCAAAAAAACCCCAAAAAGATGAGGAACCTCTAATTTAATGGATCCTTCTGGGACGCAGTAACATGAGGGACTAGAAAACAGTGAAGAGAGGCTAAGAAGATCAGCTCAAATCTTTTCTCTGCTTAGTTCAAGCTCTGCCATCAATTCTGTGACCTGGAGTCAAAAATATTACCTCTGGACTTCCTCTCACCTTTTCTGAAGGCTCTTCATTTTCATTTTCACCACTGGAATTCCTAATAATCATCCTTTAAAGCTCACCCCAAACGGCACCCCTTCCAGGATGCCCAGGCCAACGATTCTTCCAAATGAACACACCTCAGCCCAGAAATCTCAAACACAGTTTTGTATCTCTTCTATGCACTAATTATGTAACTTAGTGGACTTAGTGACCTGTTTGTGTTGCCTACTAGAAGGTAAGCTCTTTGAAGGCAGACCAGTTTATTTTCCAAATTGTATCTCGCCCTGATCACCTAGCCCAAGATTCTGTACCTAGCAGATGCTTAATTAACATTTGTTGAATGTAGGAATGAATAAATGACTGGATGAACAAGGTGAGTAAAAGTAGGGGGCTGGACATGATGTTTTTCAAGGTTCCTTTCAACTCTGACATTCTAGATTCTAAGGTCCTTTCCTTTTCTCACATTCTGTGATTCTAAGACTCCAAGAGTTCTAGTTGAAAACTGGCAGAAATAGATCATTTTAAAAGTTCAGATGTTTATTAACAGAGTTCTGGTTTTGTTTCAAGGTTTTTTTTAAAGAAATATGATTACATCCATTTCAGGTAAATCCTACCATCATAATCATCTCATCATTAAGAGGAAATATCATACATCTACTTTTTAGAATCACATGCTACCAACAGAAGGACCACTACCACATCATAACTGCATACCTTAATCACAGGCGAAGTACCAAGTAGGAAATAAATGCTCTTGTGAGATATGAGCTACTCTTGGAAACTGACAAAAAGACTATCACATGGGGAGCCAAGGCAATGATGGCCACCTCCCCCATTGTCTGATAAAATGGCATCCTTCTCCGCTGGGGTCCAAGAATGCGGTCCAGGAGGCAGCCTCATCAGCACTTGGTCATCTACCAGTGACTCTACCCCCAGTTTGCTTAATGTGACCATACCCCTGAAATCTTTAAGCTAGACAGTACCCTAGCAGCCAACTTGTCCAGTCCCCTCATTGTGCAGGTTTGAAAACTGCTGCCCAGACAAGGAAAATAACTTAGGTGAGGTTACATAGCAACTCAGTGGGAGCCCTGGGCCCAAAACCCCGCTGTCCTGAATTCCAGTTCAGTGCTCTTTCCAGGACACTAGACCCACTAGCAAGATTCTTTCCCTCATTCAAACATCTACTGAGTGCCTATTGTTTGCCCAGAACTATGCTGGGTGCTAGAACAGATCCCACACAGCATCTGCCCTCTTAAAGCATAGAGCTTAGTAGAGGGGAAAGACACAAATACAGATAACTCCCATATCTAATATATGTGGGGGCATTTGAGAGAGGCAGACAAAGTAAGCAGTGAGATTCTAGGTAGAAAGGCATTGCTGACCGATGGGACAGAAAGGACACTTCATCAGAAGACTTATTCTAGCCAGTCCTTACTCTGCCAGTCAACCAAGAGTCAACAAGCATTTTAAAGTGCCTACTATGTGCCAGGTACTGTGTTAAGCACCAGGGATACAAAGACAGGCTCCAGATTCCGTGTCGGTTGGACCTTGCCCTCACCATCAATGTGTATTTATTTTAAATCCATCCAGTATTTGAAAATGGTGCAGTGGAGTCAAGAAAACTTGGGGTCAAGTCCTTTCTCTGAAGTATAATTACCTATGTGACCTTGGGCAAATCACTTACCCTGTCAATCCCCACCCCTATAACCACCAGTGTTCTAAGTCTGAGCTGCAGAGAAGGGACTGATCTGCTTTGGGAGAGGGATAGATAGATATAAAATTTATTTACTTGTTAATGAATGCATTGGAGCACAGTGCTGGACGTATAGTAGGTGCTTAATATTATGTTTATTGAGCGATAGATTCCCAAAAGAATGTAGGCTCCATCAGGACAGAGACTATCACACTTTGTAGAGCTGGCTAGGTAGTTAGCATAGTACCTGGCATGCAGTAAGTTCTTAATAAATGCTTCACAACCCTATTTGTAGCAGAACATCTTTCTTCTCTTGGGTAGTGCAAAAACCGATTCCTTTTTCTCTCTGGCTGCCATGCCTCCCTCATATACCTGTCTGTTTGTTTATATTTAAATGTCTCTTGGTTTCTGGTTCATTGGTTGGTTGCCACTAACTTACACGATGAGTTCTAAGGTCTCTCCCAACTGTGACATTGTGATTCTACCTCAAGTCCATGAACTTGGGAAAGAAATCAAGCTGAGCTTAAAAAAAAAAAAAAAAAAAAAACCAGATAGACAAGCCTACCTTCTAATTGATGAGTCCAGCCCTGAGATGTAGTGCAGGCTAAAAATACCTGTAGATCAAAAAGCATCAGCTAAATTGCTGGATAAATTAAGGTTGCCACATAAGTGACCTGTAGATAATTGAGCCATTATGGTCTCTTCTGCAAAAAAGGATCCAGTGGGATTCCTGGATGGAAGACCGATAAGGAGCTATTAGAAGAAATTTGGAGGCCAGCACAGCCCTGACTCTGTGGTTGATGTGGAAGGTCAGCCATGACCTTCCCTGGCTGCTGATGACACTCACTTCCACCCCATCCAAAGCACCGTGTAGTAGAAAGAGTGCAGCCTCTGGAATTGAAGGCCCCAGCTCTGCCATTTACTATTTGGGATATCTTGGCTAAGGCACTTCCTTCTCTCTAGGACTCCGTTTCTCTCATTGGAGGAAATGTGAGAGTCTGGAGAAGCTTCCCCATTAGAATGTAAACTCCCTGAAGACTCCTGCTTTTGCCTTTATTTCCTCAGCACTGCACAGCGTCTAGCATGTTGTAACTGCTCAGTAAATGCTTGCTAGCTGACAGACTATGCTAGCCAATCTCTGCACTGCCTCTTCCAGCCTTTGTCCCATGATCTGATAACACCCACCAAAGCCCTGGAATGGAGAGAAGCAAGGAAGGCAGGAATCATATTAAACCTATTGACAAGTGAGGAAACAAGAGTTTCGTGACTTAGAACCCCAGAATCTCAGAGCTAGGAGGGACTTCAGAGGTCTTCTCGGACAAATAAATGGTGATCTATTTGGAAGAGGTACAGGGTTTGAGGAACTCACTAGACCTCCCGTATCACTATAACCCCCCTAGAGAACTGCCACCACCCCTGTCTATCCCCCTGACACGGAGCTCGCTCACGCTCATATTGGGAAATTCATCAAACTCCCCCCCCCAGTCACCCCCATGCGTATAAATCTACATACACATAGAACCACATACATTCAAGCAATAATACTAGGGAGCCCTGAAATCTTTTATTGCTCTCTCTATCTCTACTCCCCCTCCTCTAGCATTGCTAACTCCCCTCCTTCTCTACCCAAAGAAGTCGCGCCCACATCCTCCTCAATGGACCAGAGAAGGCGGCCTCCACTGGGAGCAGCCCCGCCCCCCCTCCCATGGGGCCACTCCCTTGACCAAGGCAAAGCCTGGAAAGCCAAGCTGCCCTTCCACCCTGTCGCCCCTTAAAGCACAGAGGTCTCGCTAGCTCTTCTTCTCGTCCGTACCCAGACTAGGGTAAAGCCCCAGCTTTAGAAACTAGGACCCAACCAATGCCCCCTCCCCCCAGCCCACTCGGGTCCCAGTGTCTAGCTCCAACCTGCCCCACCCACCGCACATAGAGCACGGGAGCGCCCCCTCCCCCCCCAACCCAAGGTTCCGGCACCTGCTCCCAGACCCTCCGGCTGCTTCAGCCTTAGATCCTCCACACATGGCCTCTCCCTCAGTTTATCCTGGTCTGGAGACCCTTCGCCTGCAGTAGTGCCCTCCCCCCTACCCCGCACAATCGGCCCTGGTGTGTGTGTGCTGCCAGCACTCATCCCCCCCCCCCGTCTTCTCGGTCAGCCAGCGCCACTCTCCCCCAACGCCCCCTGATCCTGCTCCAGCCCTCTGGGACTTCGACCTTCTTCCTTCCCTAACCCCAATGCCCCCAGTTCCTCCAGACTCCGTTGCCCCCCATCCCTCTGGCTCAATTCTCCCTAACGCCCCCCTTCCCCTTCCCCAGATCGCTCTGCCCGGCGCGCCTCCTACCTCGGCTGGGGGGCTCTGAGAACTGGGGAGGGGGCGTTTGGGACGCTGCTCTCGAGGTCAAGCCTCCCGCTGCGGGAGCGCGGGGCCGGCACCTGAGGGAGCAGCGCAGCCACCCGGGACTGCACCGACGGGACTGACCAAATGGCAGCGCGGGGCAGGGGAGGGCAAGGCTGCAGTCCTGGCGGCCTGGGACGGAGCTCAGAGGACCCCGCTTGGTCCCGGAGAACTCTCCAGCTCTGGCGGCGCCTCGATCTACGGCGGACTCCGAGCGCCCAGTTCTGGCTCTCCAGACCGGCTCCGGGAAAAGGGGCTGGGACTGCGGCTAGGACTGGTCAACCGCTAAGCGCCTAGTCCCGCCCCGGGCGGAGCCAGCCCAGCACCGCCCCTTCCCGCAGACACCATCCCTTCATTCCTCCCCTTAGGTCCAGCCCCTCAAGTATCCCCCAACCTCCAGCCCTTTCCCCTCCACCCCCCGAGACCTCGACCCCCCCCAGTCGGTCAGTCCTCCTCAGCTCCCTCCTCTCAGGCCCCGCCCCTCAGTCCCCCAACCCTTTGCTGTCAATCCCCATCCCTCGATCCCCAAAAGCCAACTCCCTGGTCTTTGCCACTCAGACCCTAAACTCGATTAGGTCAGGCTACTCCCCTCTGTCCCTCCTCTCAGCCTCCACCTCCTCAATCCCCCACCCCCAACCTCTCAGTCTCTGTCCTCAGCACCCCACCCCACCCCGCCAATCCTCCTCAATCCCCTTCCCTAACTCTGCACCTTCAGCTGCCGCGCATCGACTCTCGGACAACGTAGCCCCGCTGTTGTTGGGTGTCAACAGCCCCGCTGGCTCCCTTACTCTAAGACCTCGCCCCCTAGTCCCCTCCTTTCAGTCCCCGTCCCTCAGTTCCTGCCAGGTGCTTAGCCCCAGGAGGGCCATCAAGGGTTAACTAACCAGCAGGTTTGGTGGCTCCCTGTGACAGATGGGGGCCGCTCATGAAGAATGGCTCATGCCTCTGTGGCCCCAGGGCACCCGCTCTGATCCGCTGTTCTTAGAGCTTAAAGTTTTAGCATTTAAACCAGGGGAAGGAGAACTGGAATAAGAGTCACAGGACATGGATTCGAATCCTTGCTGGGCCACTTTCTGGCTAGGTGACTTAGGACGGGTCACTTCTCTCTGGCCTCAGTTTCCTCTTCTGCAAAATAAGAGGGTTAAGCTCTTTGATCTCCAAGTTCGTTTGAACTCAGAAATTGCTGATCTATTCAATAGTTATGTGTTCTTTGATTTGCAGTGGGCCTCCCCTGCTTAGACTGTGAGAGCAAGAACTAATTATTATTTTGCCTTTCTTCGCATCCCCAGCGTTAGGCACAGTGCCTGGCACACAGCAGGCTCTTCATAAATGCTTATTGGCTGACTGGCTGCACAGGTAGCTTCTGGGGACCCATCCTGGGCAGATGCAGACCCAGGAGTCCTGGTCTGAGGGCCATAGAGGAGGGGCAGCGAATCCCAGACCCTCATGGGCCTGCTGTTTTATGCTGGAAAGGAGGATCAGCACATATGTACTGCCCATAGGATTTAGTGCTGGAAGGGGTCTTAATGGCCACCTAATCCAATCCCTACACTTTGCAGAGGAGGAAATTGAGGCCCAGACCGTATAGAGAAACTTGCCCACAGCCATACTTTTGGATTTAAACTCAGATCCACTGACCGCAAATCCCACCACATGGGTACAGGCTGCCCACAGTTACACAGTGAGGAAGTGTCTGAGCCAAGGCTATGAGTTGAATCTTCCCAACCAGGAGCCCAAGGCTCTTTTTACTACAAAATTGGTGTGAGTAATTGGGGGCAGGAAAGTTCCGGCAGATCTATCTGCTTTGGGTCAGCTGGGTGGTGATTGGTCAGGGAGATTTAAAGGAATAAGATCTGGGCCAGTTTTCAGCTGCTAGCCTCTTCCCTCCCCCACCCCATTTCTCCAGGCTGTCAAACCAGACTTGGCTAAACTGTAAGTTTTACCTGGAGGACAGAAGAGCTGCTGGGGGGGGGGGTCGGGTGGAGATATTTCCAAGAAGAGTTGGCAGGTCTGGTAGGAAACCAGGCTGCCTGCCCTCTGAGAGAATATCCCAAGTGTGTGTCCACCTGACCCTTAGGCCCTGAGAGGAGACAGAAGAGCTACAGTACTTAGAGAACCTTAGACTGGAAGGGCTCTTAGCACAACTGAGGCCCAGAGAGGTACCAAGCTGCTTCTTGTTATTGTTGTCGATTTTAATCAGTTAGTTGTGTCCGACTCTTTGGGATCCCATTTTGGGATTTTCTTGGCAAAGATATGGGGTGGTTTGCATTTCCTTCTCCAGCTTATTTGACAGATGAGGAAACTGAGGCAATCAGAATGAAGGAATTTGCCCAGGGTCACACAACTAGTAAGAGTCTGAGGTTGGATCTGAACCCAGGTCTTCCTGACTCTAGGTTCAGGGCTCTGTGCACTGCCACCTAGTTGCCTGAAGTCTCTCATTCATTTGTGGTTTCAAGCAGTTCCAAATCCAAGGACCTAGATTCAAATCCCAGATCTGCCACCTAATGCCCACATGACCTTGAGAAGGTCATCACTTTCCATCTCTAGGTATCAGTTTTTGTCTTTGTTTCTCTAGCACCGCCGGCATCTCTAGCTGTCAGGTCTCCTTCCCTGAAGATGTGCAAGCCAAATGGCACACAACCTGGTACATCCAGGGCACTTAATACATGCTGATTGACTGTGTGTGTGTGTGTGTACTCACAAACGAGTAACTATAAAGGATGCTGGAGGACATTGCTAAGGCACACTATTGGCAGAGACAAAACTAAAGTGGGGCATTTGGAGCTCTGTCCAAGAGCAATACAGTTTAGAAAGCAATGGCCAAACTTGCAGAATTTTGTTGTTGTTGAATTGTTTCAGTCACGTCCAACTCTGGTGACCACATCTGGGGTTAGACAGCTGTCCTACTTAGCAAAAAATAGTTAAAACAGAGTTATTGGCCAACTTATTCCTTGCAGCTGCACTCCAGGTGAGCTCTTTCCCAGCTCTTTCCACCCTTCTTTGCCTGGGGTCTCTACTTATGGGGACCAGGTCCCCTCTACTTCCCCCAACTGATTTTGTCTTTAAAAGTTGCCTTCGGATTGTCTTTTGGGCTCTCTGGTTTCCTTCCCTGAACGTTTATAAAACAGTCGTACTCAGTGGTCTGCGGGTCTAGAGTAGCTACAGGTGTCACACCAGTAGGGAAAGAGGGAGCCAGGGGAAGCTGACCAAGTGACCAGCCACAATCTCCCCCTTTCCATTCAACCCATTCAACCAACATGTATGGGTGCAGACTAGATACAAAGGATCACGCTAAATGCTGGGACACTCACTGGGCTTGAAATCCACTAAAATGTCTGAATGTTTGACAGGACAGTCTTAGCCTAATCATGGGCTTATGGAGTTGAGTTTTTAAACCCAATCATAATACTTTTTACATTTATCCCTATGTGTGTACATTGAATAATCACACACTCTAAGAGCTGGGGGGGGGGGACCTCAGCAGCTATCTCATCAAACCAGCAAAGCAAAAGAATCTCTACTATAACTTACCCAACAAATAGTTTATCCAAACTCTGCCTAAAGACCTCAAAGGAGGGTTTGTGCTCTATCCCACTTTTGGACAAAGCATTTTGTCTCCCCTGTTAGGATGTGACTTCCTCAAGGGGGTTATTTCACATTTGCCTATGTGTCTCCTGAGCCTAGTACAGTGACCGGTACACAGTAGTGAATGAATGAAAAAAAAAAACATTTATTAAGTACTTACTATGTTCAAAGCATTGGGGATGCAAATAGAAAAGTAAGGCTCTCCAGAGGCTCACATTCTAGCAGGGAAGAGACAAAGCACATATAGGAGGTTTTCATGAATCAGATGGAAAAGCCCCACAGTCCTCAGAGTGCAGCAGCAAAGCACATAGTAGTGTTTCTTCTTTAATGTGATTTCCATTGATAAAATTCTATCAATGTCAAAGCACTGGACAGGGCCAAAGACCTCTGGTGGCAAGAAGTTCTCTGGGTCCTTTGTAACAGCTGTTGGGCCACATTTCCTGGGATGCTTATTAAATGGTTACTGAGTGATTATTAAAGTTCAGTATCATCTTCAATTCAACCAGTGTTCTCACCTGTCAAGTCCTTTAGATCCTGACTGCCATCCAGTGGGTAAGTTATCTCTCCCAGTATTACATCAGCTGCAAACTTTATGGGCACATCATCTATCCTTTTATTGATGTCACTGATAAAAATATTAAACAACATAGGGCCAAGCAGGGACAGATCCCTGAGGCACTTCATTGGAGACCTCCCGCCAAGTTGATACCGAACCATTAATAACTACTCTTAGAGGTCAACCGATTCCAAATCCATCTAATTTTATCAGCGTCTAATCTATGTCTCTGCATCTTCTCCACAAGGGCAGTCTGAGAGCCTTTATAACTTTGCTAAAAATCTAGGTAATCTATTGCATTCTTCTGATGTGCCTGTGTAGTAACAGTGTCAATAAAGGAAAGAAAATGTGTATGATATAACAGTGGTTTTGTTGGGGTTTTTTTTTTCAGGCAATTGGGGTTGAGTGATTTGCCTAGAGTAGCACAGCTAGTAAGTGTGTGAAGCTGGATTTGAACTCATGTCCTCCTTTCTGACTCCAGGGCTGGTGCTCTATTGACCGTAACCACCTAGCTGCCTCTGGTATAACCTATTCTTGATGAAGCCAGTTTGGCTCCTTGTGACCATTGCTTCTTTTTCTAGATAGTTACCAGTTTTCTGTAATGGGAACCAGCCAGTAGGGGCTCTGGCTTGGAGCCTGAGCAGTATATTCTGCCTGCTGACAGCTTAACTGGAGGCTTGGTGAGCCTACTTCCAGAACTGTGTAATGTAGGGGCAGACATTCAGCTCCATGCTTTAGAGCACACACAAATATTCTCTGTTTCTGGTCATTTATGTGGTGAGGAAAATCTTTTTACCCGGCTGCTCTGCTAATACTGAGTGTATGCAAATGGCTTGAACAGGCAGGAGCTCACTCTCTCTGCTCCATTGTCAAATGAGTCAAGACCAGTTGCAATCCTGGAGAGAGACAGAGAGGAGAAGTGAGAGAGACAGACAGACAGACAGACAGACAGACAGACAGACAAAGACAGAGAGAGAGAGAGAGAGAGAGAGAGAGCAATCTCCTTGTCTACGTTATCTCATCCTCTAGGCTGCCTTGTGGCCATGAACCCATGGCTACCTCTGTTCTTCTTGTTACCATCGTGTCTGTTCTTTCCCACTCTTAGGTGAATGAC